TCGTTTTTATAACTATGATCTGGTATTTTATTCTTAAATGTATTTTACTTTGAATTTCTAATTATGTTTCATTTCGACTCCTTGGCCTGGAGGATTGCGATGAAAATCCTGGCTGAACATCAGATCATGCGGCATATGTTCACAGGAGCTCACAGAGCGCACACCTGAGCTAAAATGTCACTAATGTTCCTGTAAAACACAGTGAGCTATAAAGCGGTTTGAGGTTCATTGAAAAGTCAACAGAAACTTTCAAACCTGTCTGACAGGTCGGACCGCTGAGACCGAGTTTCATATCAACTCACAGGTCCAGCCTCAGAAATCAAGAGTGACATTTAACAACGCAAGACTTATATCAATGAATTCTGTCAATAAATATTACACTTTTCCTACAAGACAGCACTCTACTTCACCTTTTACTTTCCTTTAACCTGACAGTAGAAATGTTTCACTTCTTGCCTTAATACATGACCAGAAAAAATACATATATCAGTCATTCTTGAGACATGGGACAAAACAGGTCCAGCAAGGGTAACTGCTATTAGGTTTAAAAATAAAAATTATTTCAATTTTAAATGTCATGAGGGATTAATAATAGAATGTATTTAACACAATTATCACCTTCAATTTACACCACAGTTCACCTCTGCAGAGTACATCAGCGTCAGACAGGCTCTGCTAAGTTTTAGTTTTAGAATATTTTAAATCCTAATGTTAATATTTCCTGTGTCAACACCATCTTCCAATTTCTGAGGAAATTATTTGAAATATTTAGATATTTTTATTCTCCTGAAGCAGGTATCATTAGCATCTAGCAGCAACAGAAAAAAATAAAATGGCTACTACATGAACTCCATTGGTTTTGTGAAAGAAATTCCAAATTTGTCAACACCGTCAGATGTCACCACCATAAGATGTTGTGTTCCAATGATATATCAAAATACTTAAATGTGACTCTTGAATAAAAGCTTTATAAACAATAACATACTCACTGTTTGTTGTGTTTGTTTTAATGCAGTAATTGACTGATTCAATGTATGTGATAGTTAAAATGACTACAGATTCAGGTTTTCCTCACCTCCGTCAGTTCTGTCACCTCCGTCAGTTGAATATTTTGATAATATTTCATTATGATATTTTATATTTGTTGTGGAATTGTCGGTCACATGTGAAAGTGTAATCTGTCTGCTAACACGAGAATGTGTTTTGAAATGTTAAAAACATCTTGAATGCTGTTAAAGATAAAGTTTAAATTATATTACGCAGTCCAAGGTAAAAAAGCACATTTTGTTAAAAAAGAGAAAAGTTGGGAGGTTGTATCAAAGCATAGCTCAGTAGCTTAGTACATATAAGATACATAAATGTAGTTTCATCTGTCTGAGTACAAGGTTTTATTTTTTTTTCAATTTTGCACCCTAGTTTGTCCCACTTCTCAAGAATGGCTGATATACGACATTTAAGTAGATTCTTGTAGAAAAAAGATCATTGTTTATATTTGCAGTAGATGAAAACTCTCCTCAGATTTGCAGATTTGTGCGCCGTCTAGTGTATCTGTGTAAAACTGCACCTTAGACATCAAAACTACTACTCATTTCAAAACCTTCATTTAAAAAAAAAAAAACCAAAAAAAGGCATTTATTTTGCATTTACCACGACAAAACGTTAGACGTAAATAATCACGCTTTTCACGTAATGCAAGGTAAATTAATATTATAATCAATCACTACATATTACTCCCTATTTTACCATGGCACCACTACAGTATTTTTAGAAACTGTAAATCAGGTTAATATTTAGCCTAAATGTTTATTCATTTAGTTCAAATCTACCATAACTTGATCAACTTGCCTTGTTTTCTCATCAGAAGTCCTCGCGTGAGGTGAAGTCGAGCCCAGAACCCTTCAAGTCGAAGATTAAATATGAAAGTATTCTTCTCAGCATCTGACAAAATTGTTGTAGCAAACAGACAGAAAGACAAAAAGAACTTACTTTTAACATCGAAACGTATAAGGAACACAATTAATGAGCTTACGGAAATAAAGCGTCTTCTTGAGTCGATTTTCCACATATTCTGCTGTAAGAACAAAAACGTGCATTTTTTATGCACAATATCAAAGTTGTACCCTCATTTTCGCATACTTAATGTGTGCACTGTGTGAAAAATATTTTGCACAAAAATATGGGTAACACACAATAAGGTTTCATAAGTTAATGTTAGGTCATGTGTTAACTAACATGAAACAAACATTGAACAGTACATTTATTACAGTATTTATTAATGAAAATAGTTATTCATTGTTAATTCACAGCGCATTAACTATGTTTATCTTGCACAACTTTTGATTTGAATAATGCATTAGTAAATGTTGAAATGAGCTTGAACTAAGATTAATAAATGCTTCAGAAGTATATGTTAATTAACTAAAGTAGTTAACTAATGAACCTTATTGTAAAGTGTTACCAAAATATGGTACCAACTTCGGGAGGCAGATTCATTTATCTTATGGTTTAAAAAAATACAAATATATAATGTTATAATTATATTTATAAATATATACCGCAATACATTTCTAACTGTATAACAATTATAAAAACAATTAATGAAAACCCCAAAAATGGCATACTTAAATATTAAGATAATTAGTGAAAATGATCAAATTAAACAAGCACAACAGCAAAAATATGAGTGACAGCTTGCTTTGACATGACATGAAAAACACTCTAGTACAGGTTTAAATCCACCTTCATTATATAGTTGACTCTGTTCTGAATGCCACAAGAAGGAGAACCCCCTTTTTTCTCCCTCAATTTAAAAACAATAACTTAAAAGATTTATAGTAGCTTATTCTTGAATTGATTTCTATAAATGATGTGTGCTGATGTGTGTGTGGTCTGATGATATCAGTCTGGCCTGCGGACAGGAACTCTATCAGCTCGTATATCTCAGATACATCTGAGCGCTGAGAGATTGATTGCTTCACTCGTCTTGTATCTTGAGTTTCTGCTCAAACATTCAGCCCGAAGCCATCCTGGCACTTCCATCTGTCTGCAATGAGAGCGGTGCCATACAACTCCAATTCCACCGTCAGTGCCTTTAACACATGAAGGGCAAGATCACACAAGGAGAAGTGCTTCTTATTAACACGGCTGTTAATGTGTAAAGACATACTGGAAATGCAGAGGCATCCACGAATCACAGGCTTTTGATACGTACGAAACCAATTTATTTGATATAATATCAATCCACAGCTCTATATACAAAATAAAAATGCAGTCTCTAAAGCTCAATGGGAACGTTTTCAATTAGAATTCAATATCATCTAAAAATATTTTCAAGTGGCTTCTCTTGATTGCATTCAGCAAATTTGGGAATTTTAAAACAGGAACCCCAAAAAATGAATTACACCGTATGCATTTTGTCTGTGTAAAGGCTCGGATCGTCGAGTGTGAATCGTGAGTGTGAGCGTCAAAACGAGGGTCGTTATTTATGTGTCATTAATGTAGAGCTGAACCACAACAAGCCATTAAACAGGAACCGAACAGTCCATCCGCTAAAAATAATATTGCATTTATCAACAAAATTCAAGTAAAACAGGACATAGTGACCTAGATGAGCTGTAAAAAAATCCTCCGCTCTGAGAAAGGAATCATAAAAATTCATTCAGCATTATTTTGACCTGAGATGTGCACATCTAAATCAATATTCAACACAATTACTCGATGAATATTCAAATTACATGTATATTTCAGGTCAGAATAGTGCGCAGTATGAACATTTCGGATAAATCACAAAGAAATAAACACAAATATTTACAACCCAAAGAAAAAAAACGGCGCTTACAGCTTCTCTGTACAAATATGAGACAATGCCGAACAAATTAAAAAGTGAGATATTTAATCAGGCCGTCGTTCTTCTTACATCTGAAGGACATAATAAATAAATCACAGCCTTTATTTTGGAAATGACGATGTCAAGAACGAAACAGAAATGTTTGGGAGACGTTGGCGGTCAAATGTTTGAGGCTGCCTACGGCGAATGTGCAATTCTAATTCTATTGATTGTACCACGTTTCCTGCGGTTTCTGATTGGCCACAGCGCACATGTAGAGCTCATCGAATGTGTTCAAAGCGTCATATCTTACAGCTACTTCGAAAGGAATGTCTAACATTCGGGAATATTAGCGTGGAGAATCTGTCGTCATGCATCGGCTGATGTATTTGACCGGCGAGCTTTAAAGGAACAGTCACCCGAAAATGAAAATTTGCTGAACATTTACTCGCTGTCAGGTCATCGAAGATGTAGATGAGTTTGTTTCTTCCACAGATTTGAAGAAATGTAGCATTCCATCACTTGCTCACCAATGGCCCCTCTGCAGTGAATGGGTGCCGTCAGAATGAGAGTCCAAACAGCTGATAAAAACATCACAATAATCCACAAGTAATCCACATCACTCCAAACCATCAGTTAATGTCTTGAGAAGCCAAAAGCTGCGTGTTTGTAAGAAACAAATCCATCATTAAAGCGCTTTAACTTTAAACTGTCACTTCCAGCTAAAATATGAGTATATAATCCATAATAACGCTTCCTCCAGTGAAAAAGTCCATCCCCTGTTGTCCTCTCACATCAAAATCCACCAACATATTTGTTTTGGACTGTTCTTGGTTTGAAATCTGTGTTTGATCTGTGCAGATTTCTCTCCTGATTCAGACAAGATTACTTTTTCACTTGATATAAACTATATTATGGATTATATTATCATATTGTAGCTGGAAGCATTGGTTTGAAATTGGATTTGTATCTTACAAACATGCAGCTTTAGTCTTCTCCAGATGTTAACTGATGGACTAGAGTGGTGTGGATTACTTGTGATGTTTTTATCAGCTGTTTGGACTCTCATTCTGACGGCACCCATTCACTGCAGAGCATCCATTGGTGAGCAAGTGATGGAATGTTACATTTCTCCAAATGTAGAAACAAGCTCATCTATATCTGGGATGGCCTGTGGGTGAGTAAACTTTCAGCAAATTTTCATTTTTGGGTGAACTACTCCTTTAATTGTGTCCGTCTCCTGATGTGTTTCAGCTCTGGGTTTCGTCCTGTGCCTCGTTCTCTGTGCTGCTGTCCCGTCGCACCCAGATGTCCTCATCGGGCACCTGCTCATCCACACTGGCGACTGACATGGCACACTGCTTCCCTAAATGAGACAGCTTGGCATGCTGTGATTTGTAGTCCTTCTTGCTCTCCTCTTCCTCCTCTTCCTCCTCCTCAGCCGTGTCTCCCTCCAGCGAGAGGGCGGAAAGCGGTCCCTCCACGTCCGGCTCGGTGGACGGGCTCAGAGCGGACTGGCAGAACTCGTCATCATCGCTCAGGATGTCTGTTTCCTTCACATCCTGTTCCTGCTCCTCGTAGCACTGAAGGTCGAACTGTTCCTCCACCCAGCGGTCGGTGTCACCCGCCGGAACGACGCCCTGCTGCTGAGCATGCTGGGAGTCCGGTGAGTCGCTGTCGGGCTCGGTGTCGAAAACAATGTCTGTGTCGATGGTGAAGCGGTTCCGCACCAGTTTCCTCCGGCCCAGAGTGCGAGTCGGGGCAGATACTGAGAAGACACAAAACCATGAGCATCACTAACATGGTTTACACAGAGATCTGACATTATATTGTGAAATGTTATTACAATTTAAAATAACTGTCTTCTATTTGAATATATTTTAAAATGTAATTTATTCCTGTGATCAAAGCATCATTACTCCAGTCTTCAGTGTCACATGATCCTTCAGAAATCATTCTAATATACTGATTTGCTGCTCAATAAACATTTCTGATTATTATCAATGTTGAAAACAATTGTGCTGCTTCATATTTTTATGGAAACTGTGATATATTTTATTTTTCAGGATCATTTGATGAATAGAAAGTTCAAACAAACAGCATTTATTTGAAATAAAAATATTTTGTAAGATTAATGTCTTTACTCTCACTTTTGATCAATTTAATGCGTCCAATATATTTTAAAATGTAATTTATTCCTGTGATCAAAGCATCATTACTCCAGTCTTCAGTGTCACATGATCCTTCAGAAATCATTCTAATATACTGATTTGCTGCTCAATAAACATTTCTGATTATTATCAATGTTGAAAACAATTGTGCTGCTTCATATTTTTATGGAAACTGTGATATATTTTATTTTTCAGGATCATTTGATGAATAGAAAGTTCAAACAAACAGCATTTATTTGAAATAAAAATATTTTGTAAGATTAATGTCTTTACTCTCACTTTTGATCAATTTAATGCGTCCTTGATAAACAGATGTATTCATTTCTTTGTGTGTTTACCTGCTCTGTTCATGGCCGGTCGGGCTCCTTTCAGGGCGCACAGGCGTTTTCCTCCAAAGGGAACGTACTGCTGGCTGAGAGGAAGACTTTCCGTCTTCAACAGCTGACGGCGCTGTTTATCTCTCAGGATGGAGTGAACTGTCTTCAAGAAGTCTTTCTTACTCTCTGGAGAGCTGCAGACACAATTTACGACACAAATTTGCACAATCAGTTTATCAGTTTATTATTCATGTTGACTTTGAACGTATGTTCAAAATCCAGCGCTCAAAAATGGGTTAGATAAATATGGTTTGTATTTGTAGTTCACATAACAATAACAGAGCACTTCAGTTTTGACACAGATGTACATAAAGGCAGTACAAGGTTCCTCCACCAGATGGTGACAGTTTTCTTTATATCTGTTTTAAAATATATTTAAATATGAAATATTTTATCATATATTTATTATTTATATATTTGAAATAAATGTTAAAATATATTACTTTTATAATTTTTTATATACTTCAAAATTAACTGTAATATATTTATTTTTTAATTGTATAATATATATATATATATAATATATTTTTACGTTTGTTTTCAAATTTATTAAAAATAAATAAATAAATAAATATATATATATATATATTACCGCATTATAAACTAGTCAGTTTATGCTGATTGTTACAGTGCAGGAGACACTGACCTGCAGCAGAGCTGAAACACTCTCTCTGGTCTTCCCTCTGATTCAGACTTCACATGGATGATCTCACACACAGCTGCACTCTCTCCATCTGAAACCACACACACTATGATCAGCTCCGTTTACCTCTATAGGGTCTGACTTCATCATGCACAGATTTGTTTTGTGTGTGTTGACGGGGTCATAGGTGAGCTTACCTGTATTGGACAGAGTGCGCACCTGAAGCGCATCAGTGGGGATCATGTGGCGGAAACGGAACGGATCTTTCTCTTCACCTGAGACAGATGCTCTATGAGAACCACCCTGAGAAACAGAGACAGACACGTGTGAATAATGTCATTCATTCATCATTTTGATGGGAATCAGGGTGTGAACGCTGTACGATACTGCACCAAACAAGAGCATGAATACAACACCCAGTTAACTGCTGAATACTTCTGTAAGCCCATGAAAAGAGGGCGAGAGAGAGGGGAGTGTTTGGGCGTAACATGCACAGCCGAAATATTCAACTGCTCTGATAGTGAAGATCACAACACTCACCATTTTCTTCTTCTGCTTGGAGTAATCCTTACAGATGAACACGACAGCGGTTTTAAACACTGGAGGAGAAACATATAACATTACACTTCAGTTCACTGCATAAAATGACATGTCTATCTGTCCATCTGTATGACTATCTATCTATCTATCTATCTATCTATTAGGAACAGGGGCGGACTTACCCATTAGGCAAAGGTAGGCAACCGCCTTGGGCCCCCAAAAGCCAAGGGCCCCCTAAAATGCTTTTCATATAGGATATGCACATTAAGCGCTGGCACACGAATGTTTGCTGTTTACGGTGTTTATTACCACGACAACCGTTCGAGACTGAACGTGCTTTTTGTGTACCCTGCTTTCTAGGAGATGAAAATATGCATCTGAAGCTGTAATTAAATATTGAAAAACAGTATGTATTATATGCTTATAATTGTTTTAAATGCCGCATACTCATTTATGAGAAGGAACCAAGTAGAGGACACAGTTACTTTTTTGGTTTATATAATCCTTAGGTGAGTAACGTTCCGTTTCCGCCTTTTCATTATTTTTCAGATTTATTTAAATTTGTACTTAAAATTTTAAAGTTTAGAATTAGACAGCCTTTGCACACAGGCTTACGCTGGTAACTCATCAGTGGACTTTCCTCGTCAATATAGGCTATATTTTTTCACACTTTTCTCATTCTATATTTCTGATGTTCCAAAAGCGCCTCCTACTGGCAGAGAATGAATGTTCATTTTCAATAATCCAGTCTGTAGTTTTTGTTCAGATCAATGCGAAAATCCACCCACATAACCCCATTTTAAATTAATATAATAATTTATACTTCTGGCTCACCCCTGGTTTAAACGCTCAATTGTGAGGTTTATCATTTTATAATTTATTTTGTTTTTGTGAAAGCCTGTATCTCAACTGTAAATCAGTTGCTATTTCGTGGTCTACAACATGAAAGAAAGCCATTATAACATGTACATGAAAAATGTAGAAACATTGGACACAACTATGGGGCACCATTGTGCAGCAGCAAGCATCACAACAAAAAAGGAACCTCAAGGTTGATCTAGGAAAATGTGTACAAATGTACAGGGCCCAATTCCTATATTTTGCCTGGGGCCCCCAATTCACTAAATCCGCCCCTGATTAGGAATGGGCAATATCTTATCGTTTGCGATATACCGTTAAAAATTCCCCCCACGATAAGAATTAGTCTTCCCGCGATAAAGTCTAGTTGTTGACATATTTCTGTGTGTGACTG